CTCCCCCCGTGGGCCCCTCCGCGTCCGGGCTCAGGCCGCTCGGGCGCCCAGGCAGCTCCCGCCGCGCCCCGGGTGGGACCCCAAGAGCCCTCGCTGGGAACCTGGCGCCCCAGCGGGTACCCCCCACTCCCGCACCTCCTCCCTTCCCCTTGACTCCAGAGGAGATGAGGCGCAGGCGGGAGCCAAACCCCAGCGTGGACCCCAGGCCGGGCCTGTGGCTCCAGGGTCTCAGGGGAAGGAGTTTAAATCTCAGCCAGACTCCAGGCCTCCAGTTCCCGACCAGAGGGCCAAGGTCACCTCCCGCGGCCGCGCCCTCCCGGGAGGTGGCGCAGGTGCTCCCCTCCCCCACGCCACCTGCAGCTCAGGCGCGCGGACGGAGGACACTCCCCGGGCTGGGAATTTTGGGGGACTCAAGAGCCTGAGCCCCCTCGTTTGACGGCAGGTGGCTGTGTGGGAGGGCTGCCTGGTGGAGGAGAGGTGGGGGCATGTTTGAACTACACCCCCACCCTTGCTTGGTGCCCTCCCTACCCCCCAACACCCTCACACCCCCGCTTTCCCTTTCAGGGGACAGCGAGGGTATTATTCTAATTTTGCAAAATGCACAGCAGCTAATTAAGTCGAGGAGCCCCTCGGCTTTCGGGTTCTTTTGCATGTGAATGGGGGTTGGTAAATCCCCAGCTCGGGCTGCGGTGGGGGCGAAGGGGGGCCTGTCCCCAACTCGGGGTTAATGAAGTGGGAAAGGAGTCTCTCAGAGCCTCCTGCAAACAAAACCCCCCGTGCAACAAACCCTGCCCAAATCCTACACGGACTGACTTAAACCCAGGGGATAAGTGCTTCAAATTAATCTCATTGAATGAAAATGAGACCAAACAAAACTCTTTAAAATCATATTAAAAATCTATCAAAGGACACCTTGCACTGGTGTGCCTCTCATTTCGCCGGAGGGAGGGGGGCGGCCTGCAGCGGCCCCTCACATTTACACAGCGCAGTGTAAACCGCAGACACCTCCTGACTATGTAACTGTCCTTGTACCGCAGAGGCGGCTTCGTATCTACACTAATGAAGGACAAGCCTTCCCGACAAGTTTCTAATTACAATGTTCTAAATTGTCCTGCGCTTCCCGTCTGTAATAATAACTTTACAACCTTGGCGTGAGGTGGGCTCTGCTTTCCTCTCGTTACAAGGTGAGATTGGTTTCTGTTCCCAACCCCGGGGCTGGGTGAACCCGCGTTTAAAATAGAAAAAAATGTGAGCCCCCCCACCCCCCACCCCTCCAGCAGGCAGGACAATAAGAGGCACCAGAAGGCATTCTCTCCGCTCCCCCTCCTTAGCTCCTGCCCCCCACCCAGAAGTCTAGACTCAACGGGGGAGGGGCAACAAAGTTGAAAAGTTCAGATTCCCCCCAGGAGCCCTGTTGCAAGGCTTCTGGAAATGTCTGAGAAGTGGAGCTGATTCTCAGGGCGCCCCACTGCCCCCACAGGGCTGAGTGTGTCCTAAGGTGGAACGGACGGAGGTAAGGTGCAATGGTCAGGCAGCAACTCAGCAAGAGCAGTTAAGCACCCTTCGCCCGCAGGGCAACTTCGCCAGTGGGAAAAGCCTTCCTGGAAGCAACAGCTGGATTCCAAGGGCTCCCGCGGACTTTTGGGTGAGGGGCTGAAGTGCTGCAGGGCAAGGCTGCTAGCCCTTTGGAATGTACCTGCCTTAAGGGGTTCTCCTTTACTCCCCTCATCCCCAAATCTCGCCTACCCTTCACTACAGGGAGAAAGAAAATCAAAGGAACCCACCAGGCTTTGTGAAAACCCCCTCTGCCCGGGCTTGGTGGGCTCTCTGCGTGTCTAAGTGGAAGATGCCATTCCAGTTGCATCAGCACCGACTTAATCGCCCACCCAGGGCTCTCTGCCCTTCGGTGCATGGGAATGGGGGCCCCTCTGACGATGTGTCACCGCTAAGGGTCGCCGACATGAACGTGGCATTCAAAAAGCATTCCACGGGCCCACGAGGGGGAAAGGGCTTTTAGGCTGTGACACTCCGTGAAATGGCCACGTTCTCTGGCTTGAAGTGAGGACATGCTAAGTTTGGGGAAATGGAAGGGAAAAAAAGGCATGATTGAAAATACACACAAAATTAGAATATGTACAGTGGAATTAAGCTAAAGCTTTGCCTAATTGATGCCTGAAATGTAAAATCTGTCAAGAGCTGTAATAAGAGATTTATTTTAAGGTTATTTAAATTTAGAGAATATTAACCCTAAATCTGCTAAATCCGAGTTTCTGTATTAACTGGGGGTAATAGACCGATTCTGCTATGACACGGAACCCTCACTGAAGTGTTAGCAGACGAAGTGTAAGTTTTCATTTCGGAATTATAGCCACTTACACACTTTGCTCGTTTCTAGCACTTCCTCCCCCAGGAATGCAGACCTCTCCGGGTTCGCCCTTTAATGGGAGGGGGAGAGGAGGGGTTTCTCTTTGATCATCCCAGTCACCCGCGTTAATCCTGTTTCTCACAGCTGGGTTTTGTCTGTAGCTTGACCCCTCCTTTCCTCATCCAAGTCCTGTGAACAATCCTGCAGCAAAATAAAGGGCAGGTCTGCCGCCGCCCTGGCGTGTGCTGCAGCCTTATTACCAGCTTCAGCAGCTCGGGAAGGGCCTGCGTCCCCCCTGCAACCCAGCGCCCGCGTGGCTCCGTGTTCCCAGACGGGCAGGGGCAGAGGCCAGGACGCCGGCCCCTCGGTGCTGCCCACCTGCCGCTCTCAGGGTCCTCCGGGCCATGCAGTCCGTGTGGGTCTGGAGGGCCTATTGCAGTGGGGTCTCTGCACTCACCCCAGGAATTCAAGGGGAGAACGGGGGAGATGGAGGAGTAGGGGAGAGCAAGCAGGGCCGGGCAGAGGTGCTGCGGCTTCACCCCTCTCCTCCAGACCCCCGGGAGTTGCCCGTGTCCAAATCTTACATTTATTGAGAAATCAATACGCTGTGGGGGTCCTCTTTCAAACCCCCGAGAAAACACAATGTGGGCGGGGTGGCTGGGGCCTGGGCTACAATACCAAGGCCCCAGACTCAGAGACAAGATGGAGTTCAAAGGGAGAAAAAGCTCAGGGCCCTGGTGCCTTCTGACTTCAAAGGCAGATAAGAGAAAGGCGACAGTAAGTCGGTCAGCCTGAGAGTCAGCTGTCCGTGGGCATGAAGGGCGAGCAACACGTGTGACCGTGACATGGAGTTGGGGACAGCCTGCAGACAGGAATCCTGGAGCTGCGTTGACCCCAAACCCCTTTGGTCCCCTCACAAAGCATCTGGACATTGACAAAGTGATTGGATAAATATTTTTATTCTCTTTTACAAATTTAAATCCAGATTTTAACCCATTTTACAAAATTCATGCCAATACAGGGGTAAAACTGGACCTTCCGCAGGCCCGCGTTACGGGGCAGGAACGTCCCCGCGGCCGCCGGGCAGCACAGGCTCTCACAGTAAGCAGTGGGCGCTGCAGGATCTGCGTGAGGATAAGTGTGGGCGCGCTAGGCTAACGCAAGGCATAGGACAGCTAGGAGGCGGGTTAACTGGCTAAGCTCTAAGCTACTGTGCCGACGGGCCCCGCTGGCTCCTCCCCAGAGAGAAGGCTGTGCTTTAGTCTCGGGTCCGTCTTCAGGGAAAGACCCACTGGGAGATCTGACAAAACAGGACATTGACCTGGGGCCACCGGGACCCCAGGCCCAACCCCGTGGTGGCCAAGTTTGAAAACACTTTCTGGGAAGTCCTGTCCCTCAGTGAGCCTTTCTGGGTTTCTTTGTGTTTCATGGGGGCATTTTTTCTTTCTTCCCACTGCCCGGGCCGGGCGCGGGTCTCAGACGTTGCTGGAGCTGCCCGGCTGGCTGTCCGGCTCAGCGTCTCTGTTTTGCTTTTTGACCTTGGCGCCGCCAGCCTCCAAACCACTCTCAAATTCCGAACGCAGCATCTCGGCAAGGTGGTGTTTCTTCTGGGTCTTCTTCCGAAGGTCAGCCCTGCAAACAGCAATGGCAGAGGGAAGAGAAACTTTATTATTTTTTTCGTTCCTATTCAGAAGGAGGCTGAGAGCAGCTGGTTCCGAGACTGTGGAACTGACATTCTTGTATGAACAGAAGTACAATCCCTTCAATAGTGCTTGTTTTGATATTCTGTGCACCAGAAGATTAGATACGGCAATGACAGATTTTCATAATGGTGGCAAAATATCACGGCATTTTTAAAAGTGAGGCTTTGTTCTGTGTTGTTTTCCTGGGAAGAAAAGAACACTCCACACTCTCACTCTGATGGCAGGCGAGCTGTATGATACGGCAGTTCGCCAAAGGATGGAGAAAACCCACCTTGAAAACCCCTCCCTGCGCAGGTCCATGGTTCAAAGCACTGGGCCACCTCCAGGGGCTTGAGCCTAGGCCTGCTCAGTGGGGGCCACATAGCAAGGGGTGGGGCACCCATCCAGACACCTCTTCACTGACTGAAGAAACCTTGTAAATACTTCTGACCTGAAAACCCAACCCCAGGTGTGCTGAGGAGCCAGGCGAGGGTCTGCACCCAGGCCAGCTGTGGCTCCCTGGGGATTTTAACCAAAACAGCAGCAGCACGGCCCCCATTGCCCCCACTGCCATGCTGCAATACTCACCACCAAGCGGCAGTGGCTGCAGGTAAGTTGCTAGGGGTTCTTACACGAGGCAGATGTGGCCTTTGACTACTTAGATTTGCAACATTTTCCTGGCTGAAATAACTGGAGGATAATTAGACTAAACTGGTGGTCAAAATAAATGTAACAGAACCCTTTAAAACCCACAAATCAAACAGGACTAGCACTGCGATTAAACGGAGGGTGCGGAATGCTACACCAGCCTCAACACCGCATTAAACAGCCACGCCTAATTACAACCGGCTCCAGGGCGCAGGGTTCAATCAGCTGGGCCTGTGACAGTCTGACAATGGTGTCCACTGTGACACTCGGGCAGACACGCAAAGCCAACCTTTGGTGGGAAAAAGGGTTTGAGGCAAGGGGATAACTAGGACCCAATACTGAAGGGCCGGAGTATATAGTGAGGGTGTGTGTGTCAGGGGCAGGGCTTGTGAGGAGACCAGAGCGGCGGGAAGCACTTTCTGGGCTGTGTTGTCGCCTACAACCTTCGTTTGATGAGGCAGGTAAGGTGATCATTCCATTTCACAGACAAAGAACCTAAGGCTCGTCCAAGGCCATCCAGCTGTAAGTGCGGAAGCGGAGATGCAAACGGTCAAGCGGACTCAGAGCCTATGCTCTTCCCGCCTCCCTCCAGGCTGCTGGTCCAGGATGGAGCCATCGGGCATGACAGGAAGGCCCAGCAGGAGCACGGTGACAAATGACCAGGTGACACGGGGGAGCCCTTTGGTGTCATATAGAAATGTTTCAGTAGGATGATGGGGCAGATGACAGGAGGAAGGATCGAGGGGGAGGGAGAGGGTGAAGGAGATGCCGAGAATGGGACCGGCTGTCGCTCATTAGCTCAATGACACGAAACGCGTGCCTCAGTCTTTTCCGGTTGGTGCCCCCACGGGAAAATGGGTTGATGCTTACAACACAGCTCATAGGGGTTTGTAAGGGTTAAGTAAAGCAAGACACAGAGGTGTCAGCTGGTGACTGGCATGGGGACTGTGGTCAATCTGGTTGAATTGAGGAAACTGAGGTTCAGAGATGCCAAGCGACTCCTCAAGGCCACACAGGAGCAGACTGACTCTGAGGCCCTGTGCAGGCAGATTCACCACCCGTTCCCACAGGGAACGGCCCTGAGTCCGAGACCCTGCCCGGTGGACTGTGACAGTGTCCCTGGCGGGGCCCCACCTCCAGGCGGTGGTGTGCGATTTGGCAGCGCAGGAGACAGGCCGCCGAGAGCACTGAACTTCTCCAAACTGAAGGCTGCCAGTTCTGTCTCGTAGTTTATTTTTAGTTGGGTTACATGACAGACAGAGTGAAGGGGTTGTGACAGGAAGGAACGCTTTTTTTCCCCCCACATTTGAACCAGGCACTCACAACGTGTATAATTCTAAGTGTAACAACCAGTTTCAAAATATGCAAAATTTCAGTCAAAATAGCCTCCCCGGCATCAGCTCCACCACTCGCTCCAGCGACTACTCCTGTCACAGCTGAAGCAAGTAAATAACCAGAACCTTACCTGGGTGGTTGATACACTGACTGTGGGCAGGACAGGCTCTGGCTGCGGCTCAGACTGGCGGGGCCAGTGGACACTGCAAAGGCTACATCAGCGTGTACGACACTCGGGTGGACGAACAGATACACACACACCCCCCACTCGGTTCACTTCCCAGACAAATACAGCTGGGTGGGGAAGGTGGTCTAAGGGTGACGGCCACTGCACAGGGACAGCTACTAAGAACATTCAAGTCCACCCTGCGGTAGCGGATGTGTTGGAAAACAGGTCTTGGCTGTTGGTTCAAGGGTCATCCTGTGCACCGAAAGGTCACCAGTTCGATTCCTGGTCAGGGCACATACCCAGGTTGCAGGTTTGAGCCCTGGTCAGGGTGCATACAGGAGGCAACTGATCAATGTTTCTCTCTCCCTCTTTCCTTCTTCCTTCCTCTCTCTCTAAAATCAATAAAAATATGTACTTTTAAAAAGAAAAAAAGCAAGCAAGCATGTCTTGGACATAGTCCTGCTTGTCTTGAGGTTATGACCTCAAAATTTCCTAGGTACTTATGACTTTATTCTACTCAATGTATAGTTGACCCTTGTGGAAGTAGAATGTGGAGTTAGGGGCGCTGGCCACCTGCACAGTTGAAAATCTGTATAACTTATGTTGGGCCTCCACATACGCCAATTCCCAACCATGGATGGAAAACACAGCTCTGCCTCGAACACCATGGATTTGAACTTACACAAGGAGCCGCATCTAGGTGGCCCGCAGTTCACACCTGAGTTGTTCACAATCAACAGTACTTTCAAGGTGGGACACAAACCCAACTACGAGGCTCTGGTTGTCCAGAGAGCAAGCAGGGGCTCCCATTTCCCAGACCCAGACCCTTGGGAGAGCCTCAGAGTCAACCTGAGTGGTACCCCTTTGCTGGCACAGCAGCCACCCCAAGGGGACCCACCTTTCCCTTGGCCAGCTCCCTGTCTCTTTCCTTTGTTCTGAGGCCCAGTGCTGAACAGGCCAAGTACAGATGGAAGATGAAACGCTCTAAACCCAAGCACACGACGGGCACACATGGGCTGATCCCTTCTCCTGCCAAGCTGAGTTGTCCCAGGAACTTGCCAACTTTCTTGCTCTCCTCGACCTCCAAATACCCAAGCCCCTCTCCAATGGGCTTCCTGAGCTTCCACCAACCCGAAGTTACCAGGCAACAGATCAGTTTATCCAACCACAGGAAAGTCCCTTGTAGTGGAGGCTGAGCGATCCCCTTGCTACCAGGTTGGATTACCCAGCAGGGCGGTGCCTCTCTCACTGCCAATAAGGGGAAGTGACAATCCAGTTAGTAAATCAACATGCTGTGGGAGGACCCCTGGAGAAGAGATCTCAGGACCTTCTCCAACTTTATCAGTAAATTCAGACAAGCCTGGCCGGGCTCAGCGGTTGAGCATCGACCTAGGATCCAGGAGATCGGGGTTCGATTCCCAGTCAGGGTACATGCCCGGGTTGCGGGCTAGGCAGCCGATCAATGACTCATCATTGATGTCCCCCCCCCCCTTTTCCTCTCTCTGAAATCAATAAAGATATGTTAAAAAAAAAAAAAAAAATCAGACAAGTATGCTAGGTAAAAAGCCATTCTAACACAGGCTTTGTTAATGGCACTCTTTGGCAGGACAAAATTTTTTATTTTATTTATGTATTGTCAAGTCTATCAATATTTTTTTATGTTTTAGGGTCATACTTAGAAATGTCTCTGCATCCTAGCATTTAAAAATATTTAAGTATATTTTCTGAGTCTGCTATTGCTTTAAGTCAGTGATCTTCAACCAGTGCTGCAAGAGACTGTCAAATAAAAAAATGACAATGACATTCCTGGCTGGGCAGCTCAGTTGGTTAGAGCGTCGTCCTGATATGCCAAGGTTGCAGGTTCAATCCCTTGTCAGGGCACATGCAAGAATCAATCAATGATGCATAAATAAGCGGAGCAACAAATAAATGTTGCTCCAATAAAATCAATAAAAATTAAATCAATTTAAATAAATTTAATTTTTTAATCAATAAAATCAATAAAAATTAAAAAACAAAATAACCTGCCAACACGATAGTTGTCCTGTGTGACTCAATCAAAATTATACCTATTTTGTCAGACTGGCAAAAAGTATGTTTTTTTGGTGTGCCGCAAAATCTTAGTAGTTTGAGTGTGCCATGAGATGAAAAGGGTTGAAAATCAATGCTTTAATCCATCTAGACTTAATTTTGGTTTATGGCAGGATGTGGAGAATTTATTTCTGCCCAAAAGTTATCCTAGGCAGTCGCTGGACTATTAATCTCCTCCCCCAGGACCCAAAACGTGCCCCCCCGAGCGGCCCTCTGACGTGCAGACCACTTCCTACAGGCCACGTGTAAAGAGCTGGGGGTGATATCGGCCAACAGTAACGGGTTCTTCCAAATATACTCAAACAACTTTTAAGCAAATACCAATTATGTGGGTTATTAATGGATATAAAACAGGTCAAACTGAAGCCATTCAAACTGGCTGTGTGACTCTAATACTTACATTACTAACACTCATAAGGGCACTTAGTGCATGTCAGGTACTGTTTGAAGGCCTTGAGGGGTATTTAACTCACTCTCCACAAGCCTGGCAAACAGGTACTAGCAGTACCCCCCCTCTCCTGGTAGAGACTAGGCCCAGAGAGGGTAGGTGGCATGTGCGGGGCCACCCGAGGAGCTTGGATGTGAGCCCAGGAAGCCTGGCTCCAGGGCCTGCCCACTGAACCACCTCATGGTAAGTCGTGACCAAAACCAGGAGCAAGTTCCTGGCATAAAATACACTTAACACAAAGCAACGTTCACATTATCTC